TTTTATTTTCTTTATAACAAATAAATGAGTTTTCTTAGAAGAAATATCTTCGGGTTTTGTTTTCTTAAAGTTTACTTGCAAGGAAAGGTCTCGATCCTCCCCTCGTAATCAAGTGCGATTATCCCAAAAGCAGAATGGGATTAATCAACGCCCTGACACTTCTGGTGGTCGAATTCTAAGCAACTCTTCCTTTGTATTTATTAAACTTATATCCATCCTCTCATTTAGGACTTCAAAATATAATATTTCCACCTTCTGTATTTCCCCATAGCAACCACATTCACAGAAAGAGCAGTGGAAGATTGGAACCAACTTCCAGCAGAGGTAGTGAGTCAATCATCAGTAACTGAATTTAAACATGCTTGGGATAACAGAATAACAGAGCTGGAAGGAACCTTGAGGTCTTCAACTCCCTGCTCAAGCAGGAGACCCTATACCTGTGATGACGAATCTATGGCACGCGTGCCAGAAGTGGCACACAGCGCCCTCTCTGATGGCACACAAGCCGTCGCCCCAGTTCAGTTTTGCTGCACATGCGCGCTTGCCTTCCGATGGCCAGCTGGTCTTCGGGTCTGCACAGGGGGCCAGGCACATGTTCAGGGGCCATGCATGCATTGCATTTTTGGGGTTTGGGCACACGCGTGCACATTCTCATTCGCACATGCGTGCCTTGGGTACTCGGTCCGGAAAAGGTTAGCCATCACTGCCCTATACCATTCCAGACAAGTGGCTGTCTAGGCTCTTCTTAAAAGCCTCCAGTGATGGAATTTCTCACAATTTCTTCACCCACAATTTCTGAAGGCAAGCTGTTCCACCGGTTAATTGTCCTCACTATCAGGAAATTTCTCCTTAGTTTTAGGTTGGTTTTCTCCTTGATTAGTTTCCATCCATTTCTTCTTGTTTTGCCTTCTAGAGCTTTGGAGAAAAGGTTGAACCCCTCTTCTTTGTGGCAGCCCCTTAGATATTGGAACACTGCTATCATGTCACCCCTAGTCCTTCTTTTCACTAGACTAGACATCCCGAATTCCTGCAATTGTTCTTCATATGTTTTAGCCTCCAGTCCCCTAATCATCTTTGTTGCTCTTCTCTGCACTCTTTCCAGAGTCTTAACAACTTTTTTATATTGTGGTGACCAAAACTGGATGCACTAATCCAAGTATGGTCTTATCAAAACATTATATAGTGGTATTAACACTTCACATGTTAATTGGGAGTGTTTATCCTAATTGAATAAACATATATCCACCACCTGATAAAAATTTTAAAAAATTAAAATAAAGAAATAGTAATTTTTAAAAAATAAATAAATAGATAAATATATAAAATATATATGAAAATAAAACAAAAACAAATCAAATAATGATCAATGGATCATTAGGTCTTTTTCTGCTGTCAGTTTTCTATGTTTCTACAGTAGCTTGAGCTACCCGAGAAGAATTGGCCCAGAGTTACTCAGAGAACTCCATAGCTGAGGGTGGACTAGAATTTCAGTATTCCCATTCTACACTTCCATTACTAGACCACACTGGCACAGTGGACCGAATGCATAGACCAGGTAGCACTGAATGGAGATAGTATTAAAGTTAGAGGGGAATAATTTGTTATAAATCAGATTAAATTGCACTTCCACTTTTATCCACCAGGAGGGGTATCCTTTTCCACAGGGTTCTTCTGATTCCACATTACTAGTGAGCAGCTGTTCAACTGCTTTAGCTCATCCCTGTGGCATCTTTTGCCACATAGTTCAGGAAGGGACCAGGCACCTTTGCACTAACTTTGCCTACTCCATTACGGTACAGAAGCAAGAATAACTTTGTTAAGGGGGCATCATTGCTCCCAATCACTAAAGCTTTCTTAGACTGCATTCAATTCCCAAAAACCGAATAATCCAAAGTTAGCTGAGCCAACTGTTGCCCTTTGTCTTCTTCAGTTTGTACCTGGTCTCCTTTCACTTTCAGCAAGAGATTCATGCCTTCCTCACTTTCCTGCCAATTCAAACAGCCTTTGAGATACTTTAATTTCTTCTATTCCGACATTTCTCACGAAAATCTTCAGCATTTAATTCAAATAGACGGATGCTCCAATTCTGAACCATTTGATTGCTCCATAACAATAGCATTCTTACAGAAGCTATGGCAAAACAACTTTTAAAAAAAATAACAAAAGATAAATTGTGTAGGTACATAGATCCTGTTTATTTTCAATAGAATCATGAAAATGGGCAAGTAGATTGAAATCTCTCTCTCTCTCTCTCTCTCTCTCTTTCCCTCCATCTCCCTTTCTCTCGTATCAAAATAAACTCTAAATATAAGGTAATACCTCCAGATAATTCAAAGATCTCTTAAATGCAGATAATTTAACAGTTTCCTTTTTTGTAGCAACAAGCAACTGCTTTATACCTCTCGCTGGGATTCTTCTCTATCCTTCTTCTTCTTTTTTTTATTGAAAAGTTTTACAAAAGAAAAATACAAAAATTTCCCCCCATGTTCCCCCCACCCTCTTCTCTATCCTTCTTGATGAGGGAAGTTCCTTAAGGGGTGAAATCTTATCTTGCCTGCCCCCCCTTTAAATGGCAACAACTTACAAACAAAGCTCCTGTAATTGAAGTCAGTAACCACAACACTGCCTGCTCCAGAACACCCGCCCTCTCAACCTCTGACGTGATGATCGTATTACAGGGAATACTAGGCTGGGCTGAGAGGAGAGGACCACAGTGTTGGGGGACCACAGCCACAAGGGTGGGCCTGGGCAGTGTGGTTAAGCCCAACAAACCCACAAGTCCGTATCCAGTGCTCTGGATTTGAATATCAACAAGCTAAGATGGAAAGAGGATAGCTATGTAAAGCTACGTTCTCTCACTGAGAGATTCTGCCTTCCTGAAGTCCTCACTGTAGAGACAGTGCCAGTTCTGCTCAGGCAGCCGTTCTTGCTATCCTCAACAAACAGATTAAGGCTTAGATGATGGTGGCTCAGTTTAAGTTGAATGATAGACTGACTGCCACTTGTTTCAGATAATCCAAACACTGTAAATGCATCATCTCACACATATATATATATAAACTGCAGTAACTGGCGAACACTAGGAATGTGTGTGATTTGGAATGATGGAGAAGACATATTTCAAAATTTGCCAGAATGTAAATGTGATTTCTGCTGCTTTCTTGACGCACTCAGGCCTACTTCAGATTTCTGTGTGATCTTGAAAAAGGAAAAAGAAAAAAGTTGCTGCTGCTTTAGCAGGTTCAATTTAATGTGCCAGTATGGTCTAGTGCAGTGATGACTAACCTTTTGGTTGTTGCATGCTGGAAGTGTGCGCGCACCCATAATACAATTCGCATACGACCCTCCGCATGCAGCCCACCTCTGTGCATGCAACCCCCCGCACTCCCCCTGCCCCCCCGCATGACCCCCCATGCACTCCTCTTGCCCCTACACATTGCCCCCCACACATGCATGAACCCCAACCCGTGAATGCATGTGCATCTCCCGCATGCACCCTATCCCACCCGCATGCGCAGCAGAGACCCCAAAACCAGCTAGCCAGTGGTAGGCGCGCACGCATGCACGTTGGAGCTGAGCTGGAGTGATGGCTCACGTGTCTGCAGAGAGGGCTCTGCGTGCCACCTGTGGCACGCGAACCATAGGTTCACCATCACGAGTTTAGTGGTTAAGGCACCAGGCTAGAAGTCAGGAGATTATGAGTTCTAGTCCTGTCTTAATCATGAAAGCTGGCTAGGTGACCTTGGACCAGTCTGTCTGTCTGTCTCTCTCTCTCAGCTCACAGGATTGTTGTGAGGAAAATAGGAGGAGGAAGGTGTGTTGGAAATGTTTGCCGCCTTGAGTTAATATGTGGATAATAAATAAATAAATAAATGTGACTTTTTAATTAGCAGATTTGTTCAACACATTACATCATAAACCAGAGCTTACTACTCACAATAGTTGATTCACAAAACATGTTCAGCCCAAATCATAGCAGCAGCAGCAGAATGGGCAAACATGGCTTAGAAAAATCTTTTTCTACCTGCATTGTGTTATTTCTATGCTGTTTCCTGCTGGAATTTTGGTGCAAAGCTACCCGCTAAAAGCAGAGAGGTTAACTTGGGTGAAAGTTTTCCTCTAATATATAAACAAGTTCTTGCACAAATAGTTAATGCCAATTTATATAGCAGTTTATATAGCAAGTTATGTACCAATTTACGTAGCAGTTATTGGAGTACATAAGACGGGAAATAAATGACAACATCTGCACAATGAAGTCATCACACAAATCATCACTTAAGTACCTGGGTCAAATGTCAGGATGAAAGTATGTAATGGCTACATTTGCATGACAATATCATTGGGGGTGTCATCATTTTACTGTCACTATGGTTTGCTGCAGATGATACTGCTAAATTAATAACTTCATCTCAGACTAATGTAACTTATTCATTAATATGGTTGAATTTGTATTCCATGTTCCTATTTGAAAAGGGAACGCAAGGAGAATGGCATGAAGGAAGTGCAGAATAAATGAATAAAATAAAAAAGATCCTGTAAAACCAATTTTAGAATGCAAATATTTTTTTTAAAAAAAATCATTATATAATTAACAAAAAAATAAAGCCTTTTTCACGTTGAACTTAATTATAACGAACTGCAGTGACAAATCCATGGTTTTGGGGGTTTTTTTTGGCAACAATAGGAAGCCGTTTGCTGATTTTGGTTTTTCTGGGTTCTTTTTTCAACTGTCCAGTTTAATGTACACCTCAGGGATTTCCAAATGATCTCCCATCCAAGCGCTAAGGTTTTTGGCGGGAAATCAACCCCAAAGTTGTGGAGGTGGGCTAGTTGCTAGTCTCAGGTCAGGAAAGGTTACCATGTGGGCAGGCGGACCTGACAGAGTATCTGTTTTGTGCGAAAACGAAAGCACGGCAGCCTTTTTCGAAAGGGGCTTTTCTTCTGATACTTACGGCGCTCGACTGCCTAAGCACGAAGTTGAAACGGGCTGTTTTCAGGTTCCGTTTCAGGGTCTTAGAGGAGGCAGCGAGCGAGATGGAGACCTCGCTGGCCGGCGGCGGCGGCTGGGACGGCGGGGATTGCCGCTGCCGCCGGTGCCCTTGGTCTTAAACCCTTTGACCCCCGCAGGGCTCCCTCCCACCCCAGCCACACAAGCGAAGAGGAATGGGCTGCAAGGAGAGTAAACCGGGCTGCTGCGAAGCCAGAAGGAAGGTACAAAAAAATAAATAAATTTAAAAAAAAAGCGGGGAGGGGGCAGGGGCGGGAAAAGTTTCTCGGGGCTAACGGGGGGTGGCATTTCGGGGTGGGCTGGCACCCTGGTTTCTGTTGACAGCCCTGGTATAGATCCCAGAGATGAATTGGGGTGTGTGGAGTCTCCCCTCAACTTCCCCCCCCCGGATTTCTTGCAAACTCGCTCAAGTATATATATATACACACACACACACAAGCATACACACACTTCAATCAAGTTCGTGAATCGGAGGCGGGAGGCGTCCGGGAAAGGGGAAAAGGAAAGAGCTGTGTAGCAACAAAGCCCAGAAGTTTGCGACCGCAGCAGCGACAAGTGGGTGCGTGTGAAAGAAATTCAGCGGCTATTCAAGCTTTCTCTTCTTCTTCTTCGCCGCCACACGCCCCCCTCCCTTTAAAAAAAACCCAGGCAGATTATCCGAACGATTGAAGGAGTCGAACGGACCTTTCGCCCCTAGCAAACAAAGGGAGCCCTCCTTTCTAGCTACAATACGAGGGGGAGGGAAGAGGAGGGGGGAGGCAGCGACAGCCGACGACGGCCAAGTCAACTTTTAGAAGAGGGCGGTTGGTCGGAGTCGGAGATACATTACAGTCCAAGGGATGTTTGCTTCTCGCTTGTAGGGCTCGCGATGGGAGTCTAGGGTGAAGTCCCCGTTACTTCCCCACCACCACCACCAAGGAAATCTGTGTGTCTATCTGGTCGCGCGTAGGGGGTCTGTTACTCGTGATCGCATATCCCCTCCCAGATTAACCTTCCATTAAATCGCCTTTAATTCAGTAAAGGGTGGTAAAAAAATAAATAAATCGGTTTAGAAGCACCTTGGCTAATATTTACAGGCTTCATTCACACCAAGAGGCTGTTCTATAAACCAGGATTTACAAATCACAATAGGTGACTTCTGTCAGATGTAAATGCCTTATTCCCTAATGTGTAAATAATGTATATATGGGATATCAGGGGTTAACTTATTCTTTGACTCTTAATGTATTCATAATTCACCACTCCCACTCTTGGCTCCACCCTTTGTATATATAAGGAGCCACCTTCACCATTTTCTTTGCTTCTATCTGTGAATATTCAGTGAATATAGAATGCCTATTATAATTAAAGAGAAATATATTTAAACCTCTAACTCTTATTATTATTATTGAGTCTGATCCTGAAAATATTGCAACAAGCTGGTAGCAGAGGATGGTTAATTGACTCAATAAATACCTAAAAATGTCTAAGAAAGATAGGCCCAACACCAGGGCCTACAGCAAAGAAATAGAAACTGAACAAAAAATAACCAACGAATCCACAAACGCGATTTCGAGAGAATCCGAAGAATACTGAAGAAGAAGAATTAATAAATGAAAATGATGACCAGGAGGAAATCGAAATAGAAAATAACGAACTCAGGTCAGAGATATTGAAGTTATTAAAAAGCCAGAAGAATGATGAAAGCCTCATCGCGAACCTCCAAGAAATGCTGAAGAACAGCGGAGCAGCGAGAGAGAAAAACATCGCTAAAGAGAAATCCAAAGACCAAAAAACTGTGAGTGATATGACTACAGAGAAAGTCGTTATGAAAAAGAAAAAATGTGATCCCGCGCGAAATTTTGAATGGCAGCCATCTTGGTTTCAACAAGCCTCCAAAGTGAACGAAGCAGAGCCAATCAGGATGCTCAGTTCAAAATTTCTGGCGCGAAAAACGTTATCAGACAACGAAAGTGAAAAGGAGGATTCAAACTCTTCGGAAGAGCCAGAATCGGAAAGTGAAGACGACTTAAAGAAATCCCAAGTAAAGTCAGCAATGAAGACGCTTTTTGCTGCATTTGGGCCAAAATTAAAAATTTCCAAAGCGCCAACGAAGAAGCAAGCGAACAAGCCGATACTTCAAGACCTGCACGCTCCCATCCTGACTTCGAGAGCGACGACGCCCGAGCCCAGAGAGCCATGTCGATTCCGCCCCACACCACAGACCGAAGCAAGTGCCAACGCACCCAAAAGAAAGAGAAGAGCAGTCGCCGCCATCAGAACTCCTAAGACCGAGCCAGAGACCGACTCGTCTGAAGAGGAGCGGAGCGAGCGAGCTACAATGGAGAGAACCTTCCACGACGACGCCAAAGAAGAAATGAACAACGCGCATGTGCGAAACTACGTAGACGGTCCGGAAAGACTTGAACTGGCCAGAGAACCACGCAGACTCGTTGCGAGCATCCCCATGCCGTTTTGCAATTTCCTACACTTGCGAGACCACGGACTACCTCAGGTTGTAAGTAATGGACAAAATAATGTGGGAAACTTACCCAGTGACTTCCCAAAACTTAGGGTTGATGGCATTAATTTGCAAGAATGGTATCAACAACTCCAGGTTGTCTTTATGAAAGAAAATTTACTATTTTTTATCACTAGTCCCCCAAGAAGACCTTGGACTTTAAAAATAGATTGTTTACACCATAAAGCATTTTTCTTAATAATATCTAGCGTATCTCCTGCAATGTATCATAGCATCAAACCAAATCTAACTGTTTCAGAAATAATTCAATGCATGTTTAATTTGTTTCACAGCGATAGTGTAGCTACCACCACAAGAATGTCTAAGGACTTCTTTTCTTCCAGAGTAAAACCAGGGGTTTCCATAAGTGAACATTTAATATCTTTAAACAAAATAAGAGCTGAGCTGCATTTGAGGGGGGAAGTGATTTCAGATCAAACAATGAAAAGTGTTATTATCAATTCACTTGATTCATCATGGGATAGTTTTATGTCACACTTAGACACCATCAATCTAGGATATTTATCCATAGAAAGTCTATCTAACAAATTGATAGCAGAAGACAATTCAAGAAAAAATCGTTATAGCAATCACACAGAACACAAATCTTTTAGGAAGGTAGCTTTCCAAGAAAAACATAATGAAACTTTTAAATGCCACAATTGTGGGTCCAGGGAACACAATAGAAGAGATTGTCCCAAAATTTCAAAGGAAAGACATAGGTCAGAATATAGGAATAAATACAATTATAGACAGTCTTCCACAGATAGACATAAATATAGAAGCCCACCAAATTACAGAGAAAGTAGAGGGGGCAGAGAAAATTCAAAAGAGAGAAAATCTGGTTCACTGAATGGACTAAATAAACAAGACAGCACTAAAACGCAACAAAATGAGAACAATAATTGGCTTATTGATTCTGGGGCAACTAATCACACCACTAATAACAAAAATATATTATCTTCATTTACAGAAGATAAGTTTGTAATAAAGGTAGCTAATCAAGAAAAGGTTCAAGTATTAGGCAGAGGGAATGTGACCTTACCTGGTCTAGGAAAAATAGAGGGGGTATTGTTAATACCAGAAATACCTCATAACATACTAAGTGCCATAAAACTAAGCAGAGATTCTGACATCAATATAGTTTTCTCAAAGGGAAAAGCAACTTTAGAGAAAAATAAAACAAATGTAGGCACTGTGATGATTAAAGGAGGCCTACCCTATCTGATAACAAAAGAAAGATGGTTACATAACATTGATTCAAATATGGAAGATTGTATTGAGGCAGATGATGAAAATATTAGTAACAGTGACAATGATGAATGTAAAATATCTCATGATCACACAGATACACACAATGAGAAGAAACCAAAAATAGGTAAACCAATTCATGATGAGTGTGCTCACATCTTACATAGGAAGTTAGGACATGCAAGTTTTCCTGTAGTACAAAAAATGACTGAACACGCAGAAGGTGTCAAAATAAAAAATTGTGAAAATTATTTGGAATGCTCAGTATGTAAATCTACTAAACTAAAAACTAGTCCCAGGCCAAAAAAAAAAAAAAAATCCACCAGATCAACTAACAAAATTTTTGACTTAGTACACATGGACTTAGTTGGCCCATTAACTCCATCAATCACTTATAGAAAACGTTACTTCCTAACAATAGTAGACGATTACAGTCGCTATGGTTTTGTTTACACATTAAAACACAAGGATGAAACCTTTCAAAAATTTAAGGAATTTTACAAACGCATAGAAACACAACATAATATCAGAATAAAACAAATTATGACAGATAGGGGATGTGAATTCATGTCTAAAGAATTCTCCCAATGGTTAAAGGATAGAGGAATGCTACATTACACGTCTAGTCCATTTTCTGCGTTCCAGAACGGGATTGCAGAGAGAAAGAATTCCACATTACAAACCATGATTAGGTGCACATTAGAGGATGCTGGTTTAGGCAAACAATTTTGGTCAGAAGCCTTACATTATTCAAATTACACTCAAAATAGAACCTGGTCCAGTATTGTGAATAAGACACCATATGAGGTGATGTATAATAGGAAACCAAAATTAGCACACATGCACATATTTGGGGTCACTGCAGACGTACACATACCTAATCAGTTGAGAAGAAAGGGAGAAAACGTATCCAGAAGACTAAGATTTATGGGATATGAAACTGGCACCAAAGGGTACAGATTCATTGATAATAATAACAAATTTATAGTTTCCAGAACAGCTGTGTTCCATGAACAGGCCAATTGGTCTAAATTACATCTTAATGAAATATTTCCAAATAAATGCAAAGATACAAAATCTCGTGAGAAAGGGACAATAGAAAATCAAAATATCAACAAAAATAAAAACAAAACCAAAACATGGACAAATAGTCAACACAAAATAAAGACAGACACATTAACAAAAAAGGAAGCAAGATATTTGCATGACAACCATAGCAAACCTGAAAGAGCTATTAGGAACAACAGAAATCAAATACCAAATAAATACAGAGATTACATAATGCATATGGATGGTGAACAAATAACACCTAATACATATGAGGAAGTATTAAAACTCCCTCGTGAAGAAAAAGAAAAATGGGAACTAGCTATGAAAAAAGAGATGGAAAGTTTGCAAGGATTAAATGTATTCACACCTGCGATTGCACCTAAAGATAAAACAATTATTGGT